AAATTTAATATTGAAAATTAGTGTTTTATGGGTCTTAATATTATATTCAATAATTTTTAACAAGAAAATTTTATAGTTTAATGTATTCCATAACTTTTTTAATAATTATAATATCCTTAGATATGTAACAAGGAATATTAAAAAAATCTATCAAGATTTAAATTTTGTTATAAGGTATTTATATATATATATATATATATATATATATATATATATATATATATATATATATATATATATATATATATATCCACGTCATGGTGCCGATAGTTTTTCATAGTATAATTTTGAAATATAGAGTGTTTATAAAGGATAAAATTTTTGTTTCCAATGAAAATATTTACATAAGGAAATATAAATTAATAAAAATTATTTTCATGATCTTTATTCGCAGGACTTTTTGGTCCTTTATTTTTTTTGTATTGAAACGTAATTTTTCATATAGAAAAAAATATAACAGTAAAAATTGAGGATTAAAAAAAATATGATCTTGATATTCATAGAATTTTAGTTTAAAGTAGTGAATGACAACATATATTTTTGAAAAATAGGTATGAATACCCCATTTGTTTTCAAAATTGATTTAAAATATATCCATCATTTCAAAAGGTTGCACACACACCATCTCAGTTCGTACTATTTTCTGTTCATTTTTACATTAAAAAGAGAGGCATGGATGCCAATTTTTGAATCTGCATAGGCATAGGCATAGGCATCAGTGCCTATCATCATTTTTAAACTTCTTTTTTGAATTCTTTCTATATAATATTTTAAAATTCAAATTGGTTTGTATCTAAAATTAAAAAACCGGAATAAAAAATAACATACTTTTCTCTATCTAAAGTTAAACATTTTTTTTTTATATTCTCCAAAGGAAAAAAAATAATTTTTTTACGTTCAAAAAAATAAAATGAAAAAATAAAATAAAGAAAGAAAACAAAAGAAAAAATAAAAAATCCAATTGAAAAAGGAAAATAAAACAAAAGAAAAATTTATTTTTTGCTTTTTTTAATTTTAAATTTAAAATTAATATTTTAAAAAATATAAGAGTGTACTCTTGTTAGAGATTTGTCTAACGATTTACAAAGTTTGTTTTCTGTTATGGGAAAATCTAATATTTGAATTACCAAAAATAATACAAAGTATTGATGAAGACAAAAATTGCAATACAAAAAAGTTATAATGAGTTATAAAATTTATTAGTGCCGTTTCGGAGAAGAAAAAAAATATTGTGCCATTTTCACAACTTTTGAATTGCTATTTTGGAGAAAAATTTGAACTAAATTATCAAAAAAATCACAAATTAGGTAGTCCCATTTAAAATAAAATAATATAGGCAATAGAAGATTATCAATAAATATTTCAGAGTGTTGTTCATGAAAAAATTGCAATATAACAGAATATGTAATGAGTTATAAAATAAAAGTTCTATTTCAGATAAAAAATTGTTGTGTTATTTTCACAATTATTGTTATATTATTTCGCAAAAAATATTTATATAGAATTATCAGAAAATATTCTCAAGTTTTGTAGTACCATTTTTAAAGAAATAATAACAATATAGTATCAAAAAACAATTCGATGTCCCACTCAAGAAAAATAATTGCAAGTTACAAAAAACTATATTAGTTATAAAGTAAACAAATTAGCTCTATTGTGTAGAATAATTTATTTTTAAATTATTTTTAGATTATCGATTATTGAAAAAAAAATTACTTTCACTTTAAAAAACACTTAAATTTAGTACTAGTATTATTTTTCCAAAAAAGTTAAATATACATTTAAATTTAAAGTTAGATTTAAAAAAATGAAAAAAGAGAATTTACCTAAAATAATCTCACCTTTCATTTATTTTTGAAAAACATGCATTTTTCAAAAATTTCGTTAAGTGGCTGTTAGTTTTAAACGGAGATCCAAAACTCGCACAAATACAGAAAGGTGAGACTATTTCTGACGACAATGAAAACTGGACTTATTTTTGAAAGAACACGAAGAGGTGGAATTATTTTAGATAATTTTAAACAACTTTAGTTTCTTCTCTTACAAATACGGAGTATATTGCAATGACACATTTTTCACAAATCCTCGTTTGCTATGGGGGCAAAGAAATTGGTTGAAGTACAATTCTCGCATGTGAGAATTGAACCTAAGGGGCAAATTTCACCAATGGTACCTAAACTTTAGCTGGAATTTTGAAGTGGTACCTGAACTTCAAATCCTTTCAAAAAAAATCCCTCAACTTACACAATCCTTTCACTAATGATCCATTAGCCCGTTTCTAGGTTAACTTCCGGTCATTTGGGCCAAATTAGAATTTTATATATTTTAAAATTTTCAATTTGACCCCATTTCTTCTTTTCTTTTCTTCCGCGCCCCGCCGCCGGTCAAAGTCGCCGGAAAACGAACTTGGTCCGATTTCGGCGGGACCAACGCCATTCTCTTCGTCTTGAGACGAG